AACGGCAGTATTTACGAGCAAATATTTGGACTACCGATGCGAGCTCCACTCTCACCTCTTTTGGCAAATGCCTACATGAACAAGTTAAAAACGGAATTCGAGAAACCACCACTACAACCAAGAGCGCTTATACAATACTTGGATGACTATTTGCACTATGGTCCTTAATTTTATTAACCAACTTGATGAAAGAATTAAATTCACTATGAAGGTGGAGGAAGATGAACGAGTACCATTTCTGGATATTGAAGTCATGCGCTCCGAAGGGACACTTATGAGGAGAGTAAACAGAAAGAATTCATATGCAGGAATAATCCTTAATTTTCAGTCACACCATAACTACAGATTGAAGATCGGAATACTGAGGAGTTTGATCATCAGAAGCTTACGACTAACGGACACTTAGTTATGGGACGAGGGGTTAGACAAACTGATACGGATTTGCTTTTATTAACGAGATTGTCAGAGAACTTATAGAAAAAAATGAAAGGGTTAGAAAGGAGAAGATTTCAACTCGCATTTTATGAAAATCCGATTAGGAATCAGGAGGACGATCAGAAGTGTATTTGCCTGCCCTTATCAGAACTGAGCCAACAATTGCGACCGTTACTAAGGAAATGAAATATCAAAGTGATCCAAAAGGAGAAGACAACACTTTTCACCAGTCTGCCAACGCAACACGAGAAGACGGACAAACTTGATTGCTTAGGAGTTTATCGCATCAAATGCGGCAACAGTGAGTAGAAGTATATAGGTGAAACGGGAAGAAAAATCAGCCTATGAATCAAAGAACGTCAAAGACTCTGCAGGGATATGGATACGGAAAGATCCGAAATAGAGGAACAAAGTCTATGATTTGCTATGTCCTAGTCTCTTGTGTGCTAACCCACAAACTTTGTGGTTCAACATTGAACCTAATCAAAGCAAGCAGTACGACAACATTTGTGGGTTGGCATACAAGAGACTATGGCATAGCAAGTCATAGACTTAGTATCACGGATAGAAACAGGAAAGACGCGACGGATATTGAAGCTTATTGACCGAAAGTAGGCCTGTTTTACCATACACGTGATCCATGTAGCAAAGGTTTGACCATGGGACTTACTCAGAGGCTTTAGCCTCGAATTAGTCACCCAGACGCAGGGGATGTGTAATAACCCCTCGATTACCACAGATGGGGTGGCAGGGGTCGAGTGAAATACTTGAACAAGGGAGATAGCAGACGGATCTTACGGGGCAAGAGGGAGACTCTGATAAAACCTAGGGAAGGAGGACTGCGTAACATTATGGCAGACTTTGATTAACATTCCCAGCACAAGAGTGAAAGGGGGTGGGAAAGCCAGCGTAGTGTGTGGAAGGTTCATATGAAAGCATCTCAAAAGGTTACCCCACACCTCATTCAAATAAGTGAAGAAACAGAAAAAAATGGTGATAGCCAAGGCGTGATACGAGGATATAGGAGCGGTGAATAACCCTGGACAGAAGGAGAGATACCACAACTGTTTAGCATACATTTGGTCAAAGAATCGGTCTCAGTTGTCTCTTTGTCGAGTTGTTGTACGGTGCTAAGACTGGAAAGACTCACTGATGGTGCCGGCGAAACGTCTGGGAAGGTAACATGTCTACGGTCCGATTTTAGAAATTATCATGCATGCAATGGACTCTGGACTAGATGCGTTCCTCTAGGTCTTCCTACCAATATGACTAAGTTGCTAAAACAAGGTCAAACAACTTATAAAACGATAATGTGTTAAATTATCTTTTTTTATCTCACCAACTGAAAAGTTCATGTCACTTGTTTGATTTGGTCAAGGTTATTATTTGGCGAGGCACAAACGATAGCAAAAAAGACGAATTATCTGAGTATATTTATGCTACTATGTCTGCCCAAAATAAGTTATTTATTTTTCATTTATAAGTAGGTTTTCGAGACTAACCGTCTCACCTTACTATTCTAAACGAAATAGGATGAATACTTTCCATACTAAATAATTTAGATGAGTTATTAAAATGTGATGATTAGTGTCTACTTTTTGCTAATGGGTTAGCGGGTATTTTACCTATCATCGCCATTTTGCATCAAACTGCCAGTTTTCATGCTTTATGAATAAAAGTTCCGAGACTGTGTAATCCCATCGCTAGGAAGCTGGGATAAAGGCAACTTTCACTGATTAGTGACGAAGAGTTAATTAGTTAATACCTCGGCAGGACACATTCAGTAGTAGGGACTCACATTTTGCTTAAGGTCAAGTTTTTATGATAAACAGCGCTCTTACCACCTTGGAGCAAATTTAGAGGCCTATTGTTTTGCTTTTATACATGCCATCATGGCTGCGAGAGTATACTGGCACACTTAGTTGTTTACCAAAACGAGTAATGACGAAATTTTACCAGATTTGAAAGCATATTTTGGTGTAAGATGTCCTGGCTGCCATAGCTTACTTCAGCAGGTTCATGCAAGTCTGAGTGAGGCTTATTCATGTCCATACCGGTACATTTGGTTCCGGTAGTAGATGGGTGGCATTTGTCCCCTGCCAGAGGTTCTTCTCAGCACCTCCTCTACATCATCTGGCCTACGAGTTTTTCGACAACCCTTGTCTCAGAGTCCCTATTTACATCTCTCTTCCTCCTCATCCTCAAGCGTTGAGTCGCCTGCGCACTGATCGCCGTCTCTGGTACAGCCTCGATGAAGACATGCAGTCTCTGAAGGTGTATCGGTCGGAGAAAGAAGCCAGTCTGGGGAGCAGCAACGCCTTGGAAAGGATCAATCTGAAGGACTTAGTCATTCGAATGGACGACCCGGAGTTAAACCAGTTCATTTTAATGTAAGTTCTCTCCCATTGTTTGGCCTCCCCGACTAGCGATTCATAGTTCGAGTTTTCGCCTAAATTGCTGTAAACGAATGCTATTTTGACCTTTTTTCCTCAACTTGTTTGAGTTGCCAGGGCAACCTCGTCCAGAGTCTCTACCTTATTAGTCTTGCTAATTCCAGCTTCGGATTGTCAATTTCGTCGATTTCCGGACTGGTATGACAGAGTATTTCGAACAGGGTGTAGTTATCCCGAGTCGACCTGGCAACACGAGCAATCTATGAAAGCGAGGTCGAACCACTTGTTTGGAATGAAAATATATCGCAACCAAACTAGAGGTCTTAACTTACGTGCTTTTGCCGGGCATGCCTATCACTGGGTTGGTCATGCGAGGAATGGCACTGCTACGATGAGGAAAGAGTTTGACTTGAAAATTCAATTACTGATATCAGGAGTCCCCAAAGTGAATCTCACTTGGAGCTGGCGTAACGACCACCAAATGGATCCAGGACCCCTGCCCAAACTCTTCCTCAAGCGGTACATGGGACCGGCTTCCATCTTTCGAGTCGCCTGAAGGATGCAAGGTAGTTTGAGAGGTGGGGTGGAGTGGGTTGCTCGTGACAATATTATTGCCGGTAGTCCGGCTTGGATGGCTTTGCGATTGTTATAATTGTATGTGTAGAAAAGTTGGGTTCCAAGGCGGCTCTTGGCTTATTATTGTTGGGCTTACTTGCATTTCTGGTGAAAGTTTGTGACAATGACGAGTTTTGAAAATGAATCCCACTGGAAGACGACAGCGAATTCCTCTTGGCCATCTGTCGGGCACTATCAAAGCAGGTACCACGTGACAGAGGAAGTCTTAGCACATTTTCACTGAAGCTGATGAATATCGCCTCGGAGACAGCGTTAATCAGACTTTTCCAGTTAATTCAACCGGCAGGTGGCCAAGAGGAACCCACCGTGGTCTTCTAGTGGGAGGCCGCCGAGTTGGCTTCTGGTCTCCCATCGCCCATCGCCTCACCCGGAATGTGCTTTACTGTCTCGGTTTGCGTAAGTTCTCCATTCGTTACTGGATCAAACTGGTCACGAGCAGGAGATGCACTATCGCGGACTTTGTTTCTGTCAGAAGATTGCTGTCTGCTGTCGAGTAGTGATGGCGACGGCATGCGAACGAGTGCATTCAGAGCGTTTGCGCTAACCATATGCTCTTCTGCCTTTACCCTTTCAGAAGTGGAGATCGAGAACGCCTACTCGAGACAGATACGCACGCCTCCCTGATGTTCTGGCTGAACGGACTTCAGGTGAGTCGAATGACCGTCTGAGACTTATAAACTGACTCCATGTTGCCCGAGCTACACATCGCGACCCGTCCTCAGAGCCAATGGAAAGATAGAAGTATGAAGAATGCGTTGTTAAAAGTGTACAATTGGTTATATGCATGTTCATGCTGAAGGTGAGTGAGCAGGAACGAAGGAGTCGATGCAAGCGACAAGACGAACTTGCTGAAGTTGTGAGGTCTACGTGAAGACGCCAATTAATAGGACAAAACGGTCATTGAAAGACCTTGCCTGGGACCTAGACGCTGGTTGGGCGTGATGGCGTGTACCACCGCAGATGCGGAAGAGTGAAGGAGCGGTTTACGCGATTGTAGTAGACACGGGCAGAGGCACATGAGGAGGTGGGCTACAAGACAAGTAGGTGAGCCCAGAGTTGTTGTTTGAAAAGCTCACGTAATTTGAGTGCCAACTATTGATTGGTTCAAGTTATCTCGATATGATTGGTCCAGAAGTAGGCTTGAGGCTGTGGCCAGATTTCATTGGTCGACGCGAGAAATAAACGCTGATGAGTCATATTCACATGGCGTCTTTTGCTCAAGGTACTGTGAGTACTAAGATGCTATGTCCTGTAACGAGGCTAATCATTGTGGTGAGGACGAATTGAGACGAATCACTACACCTGCAGTCCTGCCTACTAACTTGGCAGAAGAGCCCCATCCTAAGGGGATACATTTCAGGACATGAGTGCTCGTCCGTTGTCAGGACATGAAGAAAGAGGACGCGATCTTTTGCCTATTCGCCTCAAAGTCTTCTCTCATCTAAAGCGGCTTGCAGTCTCGGCTAAGTTCAACCCGCATTGCCGCCTCCAACGGGACTCGAACCCGGGATGTATGAAAGATAATTTTTTTCCCATCTTTCTTGGTTCCAGGAATAGGCAACCTATTCAGCATACCCGGTGGGCTCTCATTTTATACAGCCTGGGCGGAGCTGTAGGTCGACTTAGTGGCGACTTAAGACCTTTACAACACTGAGCTTTTACTATTATGATGTCCGTCATGTGATGGAGAAATTCTTAACCCGATTTCACCCGCAACGGGGACAGATGTCTCGTCGACTGTGCTAGCCTGAACGTCGTAGTAAGGCCAAACGGCCTGCAGAACAATGGACATCTGCCGTCGTCTTCCTTTGAGGTCAACTAACGCAACTATTCATCAGAAACTTTTATACGAAATGAAGGTCTTAAGATTATTCGAGGCCCAGGTACTCTTAGTATCTTATATTTTCATATACTTTCAATCATACTTATTTATGTGTATATTTGATTGGTTTGAACATTTTAATTCTAAAGTCTCATTTTATTGGATTTTTAGGCTGTTCGAGATGTCGGCAAGTGTAAAGTTATCAACGAATCCCAAGATTTAGGAAGTTGTGAGGTATGCTTTCTAATATAAATATACTGTACCATTGCTTATTCAATCTCACTCATGCTTCTCAGTTTATCACCAAATTCTGATAATCCGGATCTACTGTTAGGCTGTTTTGGAATTATTCAGAAATATAGCCAGCATTACGCACTCCACGCACAACAGAGAGTGATATCAAAAGAGTCCTGGCCTTTGCTGAAATTCAATTCTGCCCTTTAACTGAAGGGCACTCGTGGCAACGTGTCGAGACTATGCCCGACACTACGACAACGAGAATTCGAGTCCCTAGAAGGGAGTTGATGAGGCCTTGGCGAGGCTGAAGCTGCAGTACAGTCCAGTATGGAGTAGAATACACTTTGAGAAGGAAGCCTATGTAAAAGTTAAAGGAAAAGTGAGGCAGATGGAGGTGAAAAATAATTAAACCTTTTTAAATGTCTTGGTGATCAGAGCAGGTGAGAAGTTAAGTAAGATGTCTATAGAAAGCCAATACATGGTGGCTTTATACATAACTTCTTCTCCAATCATAGTTACAAAAAAATTGTTGGAGTTATAAAATTTGTGATTATTCGAAGCATAAGACTAGCCTATAGAGACCATTGTGAAAATGAACTAGATCGGCTTAAGATTACATTTGGGAATGTACAACGTCCAGGGTCCGACTTTGGAAAGTATTTTGCATACAATGAACTCCGGAGTAGGCGCGTTTCTCTAAGTCATCCTACATATAATAAAATAATATTTCTTGAGAATAATTATTTCCTAGACTTGATTGAAAATAACATTAAACTAATATAGAATAGCTTTTTGTAAGGTGAATACGTTTTCTCATGTTTTGTCCTTACCTTCGTGTATTCTCTCTAAAAGGATTGGTGAACAAGTAAGGAAGTGGGGAATAAAAACGGTCTTCAGGGAAACTACGACATTTTCTTCAGCTATGCCGACTTTTAGAGAGAAAGTCGACCCATTCTCTAGATCGGGTTGCTACAAAATAATGTGTTCATGCGGTCGCTTTTATGTTTGAGAGACTTGTCGTCCAATTCGACAAAGGATGGCTGAGCACAGGCCAGAAACGGGACCCGGGGTTGAATCGTCTCAAACTTGTCGTTTTGCTGATTATTGTATGTTTGCGACTAAACGTAAAATTAGAGAAGCCATAGAAATAAACCGAATAGGAAATACATTGAATGTAATGAATACTGGTAAGAAGATAAGTAAAAATTATTTGTGCTTAATTAATAGACTGAAGGATAGAGAGGGAGTTAAGTCGCCTGCAAAAAGGAGGCGACGCAACTAGTCTTTTCTTGTCTTGGTTCTAATGATAGTCAATTCTCTGTACATTCAATCCATACTTTCTCTCTCGCATTAAGGCCCAAAGCAAAAAATATGCTCATCAACAAAACCAGACGTGTGTCCGACCTTGCGCAATCGGAGTGATAGTTATGACATGTATGTAGAAAGAGGGAGATAGGGATAATCAAACCTTGATGACCGAAAACAGACGTTATTTTTGCTGCCCTGATTACCTTGAGCCATCG